TTTAATTCTTTAGCCTAGCTGAAAAATGCTCAGGGCAAAGGTAGAATTCTGCCTTCCTTATAAAGGAACTTAGTAACAAAAAAGAAATCGAAGCCAGGAGAAGGTGGTACCATCTTTAATTCCAGCACATGGGAAGCAGAGGCAGGCAGTTCTCTGTGAGATGGAGGCTACTCTGGTCTACATAGTCAGGCCAGTTGGGGCTACAGGGACACCCTGTCTCAAAAACCAAAATATCTACATAGTACTTCACTTTATGGATGTGCTATAATCTAACAAGACCACCCTCTACCACTCTAAAAAATGCTGCAATGAACGATATTTGTCCTTTAAAAATAAATTTGTCATAACAGTACTGTTTTCATTAATAAAATTATAAGAGTTTCTGGGACTTGTTAGTAATCCAAGAAAAAAGAACCTCAAGCAAATAAGAAATTAGTGTTCTTGTGCAACCTGAAATGTGAACAACTAGATGGAATCATAAAAGCACTAGGCTTCTTCTGTAAGTGCATAACAATGAAGAAGTATTTTGTAAAGACAAATGATATATCAAAAATTAACTGTAATCTGGGCATGGTAGTACATGCTTGTAATCTCAAAAAGATGGGGCAGGAAGATCACTGAGAGTGAGGCTTGCGTAGACTACAAAGCAAGTTCAAGGCAAGCCTGGGCAGCCTAATAAGATCCTGTCTCAAAAACACTCCCCAAAACAAAACAGTAAACACTGTTACACTTGTCTTTGTTACTCACATTGCCTTAGATAAAAAAATTACCTCTTTTTATTTTAAAATAAAAAAATATTAAGCTGAGCATGGTGGCATTTACCTTTAATCCCAGACTTGGAGGCAGAGGCAGGTAGATTTCTGTGAGATCAAGGCCAGCCTGGTCTACAAGGCAAGTTCCAGGCCAGCTGAGGCTACAGGGTGACCCTGTCTCAAAAAAAAAAAAAAAAAAAAAGAGAGAGAGAAAGATAAAAGAGAAATACTAAAAAATTAAATCTCCCCAGTATAAATAAGAATGAATATAAAGCCAGGGCTGGTGACACAGGTTATAATCCTGACTACTTAGGAGCTGAAAAGGAGGACCAAAAATTCAAAGTCTATCTGGGCTACAAAATTAATTCAAGGCCAGCCTGGGCAACTTGGTGAGACCCTGTCTCAATGTAAAAAGGACTCTCTCTTTCTTTTCTTCTCTCTTTCTCTCAATCCAGAAGAACTGACATGAGACTAGAAAAGCCTGCCCACACTCCTTAAAAACATTACCAAGGCTGCAACTGCAGCTGTACCCTGCAGAATGGAGTATCACTTAGCAGTAATTATAAGCTTCTGATTCTAAAAGCCACAGTGGCTGTGTAAGACACATCAGCTTTATCAGTGAACACCCATGCAAAGCATATATGTGCTCTTTCCTTATATAAGAATACAATTTTATATTTGTACATATTTGTATTTGAATGTGTGTGCTAGCTCCAAGGTTTATTTATATTTCATGAAGCATTAGAACGAAATAGGGATAGTACACTGGTGCACAGGAGACCCAGGTGCCTGGGTTAAAACTAGTTAGAAGCACACTGAAAGCAAACAAAAACATTAAATAAATTCTGGGCAAAATAAGATGCTTAAGATATTCTTGAACCTATTGTTCTATCTTCTAAAAATAACTTCAGTCAATTATGCCCATCAACAAAAGAACTTTGAGTTCTCCAGCAGTAAAAATCCTCAAAAGAACAAACAAACAAAACATGCTTTAAAAAGGGAGATGGGGTCTGGAGAGATGGCTCAGTGGTTAAGAGCACTGACTGCTCTTGCAGAGGACCCAGGTTCGATTCCCAACACCCACATGGAAGCTACAAACCATCCTTAACTCTGTTCCAGGGAATCCAAAGCCCTCTTCTGACCTCTGCGGCATTGCACGACACGGGTGCACTCACATACATGCAGGCAATACACTCAGACACATAAAATAAAAATAATAAATAAATAAAAAGGGGGACGGGTGGGGAGAATTAGAGTAAATGTCTCTTAAAAACCAAATCAAGCCAGGCGTGGTGGCACATGCCTTTAATCCCAGCACTTGGGAGGCAGAGGCAGGCAGATCTCTGTGAGTTCAAGGCCAGCCTGGTCTACATAGTGAGTTCCAGGCCAGCTGGGGCTACAGGGAGACCCTATCTAAAAAAAAAAAACCCAAATCAAACCAACAAAAACCCTAAATATAAGTCAGATGAATTGATTTGTACATCCTGGGCAACAGAGGCAGGCAGATGTCTGTGAGTTTGAGGCCAGCCTTGTCTACATAGAAGTTCAAGGTCAGCAAGGGAAACAGTAAGATGTCTTAAAACAAATGCCCTTTAAATACTTGGTTTCCAATTAAGTCACTTTTAAGTTATCAGTTAAAAAATTATAAAAGTATTATCTAACAGTAGTTAAAAAACAATTCAGGGCTGAAGAGATGGCTCAGCAATTAAGAACACTGACTGCTCTTGCAGAGGACTGGGAGTCAATTCCCAGCACCCACATGGCAGCTAACAACTGCCCGTAACTCCAGTTCCAGGGGATTCAATACTTTCTTCTGACCTCCATGGGCACTGCATGACACCAGTGCACTTACATATATGCAAACAATATACTCATACACATAAAATGAAATAAAAATAATAAAAAAAAACAACGTACAACTTCTGTACGTGCAGTCAGCAAATGGTTAATCTCAGTCAACAACACATCTGAGCTCTCCACACAATATATATAGATCCCTTCATCTTTAAATAGCTGCCTAATTTTCTTTTTCTTTTTGATTTTTTGATACAGGGTCTCCCTGTAGCCCCAGCTGAGCTGGGTGAACTCACTACGTAGACAAGGCTGGTCTCAAACTCACAGAGATCTGCCTCCTGAGTGCTGGGATTAAAGGTGTGTGCTACCATGCCTGGCTAATATTCCACTTAAAAAAAAATGTATTAGCTGGGATGTATCTCTGTGAGTTCAAAGCGAGCCTGGTCTACATAGTGAGTTCCAAGACAGCTAGGGCTACAGGGAGACCCTGTCTCAAAAAAAAATAAATAAATAAATAAATAAATAAATAAATAAATAAAATGTATTCTTGGGACCAACAAGATGGCTCAGCAGAAAAAACACTTGTTGAGCAAGCCTGGTGACCTGAGTTCAATCTCTAGAACCCACATAAAGATAGGAGAAAATCAATTCCACAAAATTGTCCTCTGAGCTCCACATACACTCCCATTTCTCTCTCTCTCTCTCTCTCTCTCTCTCACTCTCTCTCTCTCTCACACACACACACACACACTCACACACACAATAATACATTTTTAATGTATTCTCATTTATTTTACTGACCCCTTATTGACATTTAGCTTCTCTTTAGTTGTTATAATTGAACATCTTTAAGAAACAAATACTTTATTGTTTTTGTCCACAAATCTGTGTGGTGTATAACATGGCTTCCAATGGCCTACACTTTGTATAATCATCCATTTCCCTCTCAGGATTATGCTTCACTATACGGCAAAGGGGAGATTATCCTGGATGGATCCAACCTAATCACATGACCCTTTTAAGAATGGAGGTTTCCTACAGCTTGTTAACTGTAGAAGTCAGAGACTCATTCAGGCTGAGCCAGAAGAAATCCACTATCTACCCTGGGAACTACCTATTGGAACCACTATCAAGGGCCTGTAAACAGTCTCTAAGAGCTGCCAGTAGCTAACAGTGGGAGCCAGCAGGAAAGTAAGTACTTTAATCCACAGATGCAAAGACTCCAAACAACTAATGACCTCAGAAAAATACTCCAAGCTCCATATGGGAACGTGGAGCTCTCAAAACACTGATTTCAGCTCAGAGAAGCCTAGGCAGAAAGTGCGAGCCACATTCCACGTGAAATGTGACATGACAAACGTGTGAACTCACTAAATGCCTGGTACTTTCTTTAGCAGCATTATACAATCTGAATGATAAATTCTGACAAGTCAAAATGCTGGGTCAAGGGAATGTACATTTGTAGTCTTTACAGATGTAGGGAAATAGTGCTCTAACCACTTTATACCAATTGAAATACCTACTTATCAAAAATCTAATCTTTTTAAAACTTCCTGATGATTATCTGATGGTATGTTTATCTCAGTAAGTTCCTAATGACTGGGATGATCTGAATTTCCTTCACTTACAACTGACTTTTCTGTTTGAGCAAATTTTCTTTTTGCTGTTGCTGTTTGAGACAGGGTCATGCAGCCCAACCTGGCCTTGAACGCACTATGTAGCCAAAGCTGGCCTTGCATTCTGAATCCTTCTGTGCCACCTTCAGAGTTCTGGATTACAGGCATGCATGCCACCAAGTCTGACTTTACTTTTTTTTTTTTAGTAAGACTGACTTTGGGCTGGAGAGATGGCTCAGTGGTTAAGAGCAGTGGCTGTCCTTGTAAAGGATCTGTGTTCAGTTCCCAGAACCCACAAAGTGGCTAACAACCATTCTTAACTCCAGTTCCAAGGGATCCAATGCCTTTCCTGGCCTCTATAGGCATTGCGTGTCACAGACGCACTTATGTACATGCAGGCAAAACATACACATAAAATATAACTAATTAATTTTAAAACCAACAATGACTTTGCCTGTAGGCTCTGCTGAAGGAAGGTTGCCACTACAACCCGTGTCCAATGCAGGAAGCTACTGGCAACAAGAATCAATCTGAGCCCAGGAGTCACTGTGAAACAGAGACACCTGTCAGTAAAGGGGTGTATGAGTGCTGAATAAACTGAGTCTCTGAAAAACAATTTGAGTATTTATTTAAAATTTTTTCTTCTTTTTGGTGGGGGATACAGGGTCTCACACTGCAGCCCAAGCTGGCCTGAAACTTGTGGCGATCCTCCTGCCTCAGCCTCCCAAGTACAGAGAACTACTATGCCTGGCTTAATTTCTTTTTATAGGCAGGGTCTTAACTGAGCATGGCAGCACAGGAACTGACTGAAAAGCTCTGGAGAAATGACCATACTTACATTCCTGCTTGAAGGTGAAGTACTCTGTAAGATGTCTGCATTCATGATTTCCTCGAAGCAGAAACAATGTTTTGGGATGATTAATCTTTAAACTCCATAAATACAGCACACACTACGAGACATAATTTAAAGATAAAATTTTCTTTGTGACCATGCTAACACATGAAGACAATTTATCTGAATCCATATAACATGCTATAATGGTGTATCTCACTGTTAATCTCAAGCTGAGAAATGAAATTCTGTTTGCTTCTCTAGTTCTGTGATAAAACACTGACCAAAAGCAACTAGGGAAAGGGTCTGTTTCTACTTATAGTTCCCAGGTCACAATCAGGGCAGGAACTCAAGGCAGGGTAGGACCCTAGAGGCAAGAACTGAAGCACTGAACATGGAGGACCACTGCCTACAGGCTTATTCCCCTGGCCTGCTCTCAGCCTGCTTTCTCATACAACCCAGGACCACCAGCCAGGGGTGGCACCACCGACAGTAGGCTGGGCCCTCCTATATCACTCAACAATCAAAATAGTGCCTCATAGACATGGCCACAGGCCAGTCTGATAGAGGAATTTCTCCAATTGAGGCTCCCTCCTCCCAGGTGGGTCAAGTTGACAACTGAAGCCATCCAGCACACTGCAGCTATATGCTTTAGCCCCAGCACCTGGGAGGCAGAGGCAGGCAAATCTCTGTGAGACTGAGGCCAGCCTGATCTACAGAGTAAGTTCTAGGCCAACCTACAGGGAAACTCTGTCTCAAAAAGACCTCCCCTCCAAAAAGGGAACACTTCACATTATACTGAAAGATCTACTCATAAGATCACCTTTCCTAAAGTTGTTGGCTCCTTCAGGGAACATCAATCTCATTCTTTTGGGGGGAGGGGGACAGAACTTAGAAACTCATGAATGCTACGCAAGCATTCTACTGCTGAGTGATAGCCTCCATCTGAATATTAATTCTTATTTTATTTCCAGAGCCTGCTATAAAGTTGGCACTCAAGAAACTATTGGTAAGTGAGAGAACAAGATGTAACAGAAGATATTCTGAATATAGTATATGGGCACAAAACTCATTGTGGACTCTTTAATGTGATTTATTGAATGTATTGATGAATTAAATCTATTTAAAAACTAGGAACTGGAGCCAGGTGACTGGTGCATATCTGTAGTTCATGCTACTTGGGAGGCTGAGGCAGGAGGAGCATTTGAAGCCATAGTTCAAGATCAGCTTAAAGGACACAAAGACACCCTGTCTCAAAAACAAAACAAAAGTCCAAGGGCTGGGCATATAGCTCAGTATGCATGCTAGATTTAATCCCCAGCACCTAAAAAAATAAATAAAAATGAAATAAAATATTTATATCCTATTTAAAAATTATTTTACATCATTATAGCAAATATTCAGAAGACAAAATGTCACAATATTTATGTTTAATAAGTTGTCTCAAGGGGTGGAGATGTAGCTCAGTTGGTGGAGTATCTGCCTAGCATGAACAAAGCCCTGGGACCTGGGATCAATCCCTAGCACTGCATAAACAGCACGGAGATACATATCACAATCCCAGCACTAGAGAGGTGTAGGCCAGAGGATCAGAAGTTCAATGTCATCCTCAGCTACATAGCAAATTTGAGGCCCATATGAGCTACACAAGACCCTGCTTAAAAAATATTGCTTTATTAAGGCTGGGCATGGTGGCACACACCTCTAATCCCAGCACTCGGGAGGCAAAGACAGGGAGATCTCTGTGAGTTTAAGGCTGGTGTAGTCTACATAGTGAGTTCCAGGCCAGTTGGAGATACAGGGAGACCCTGTCTCAAAAAGACCAAAAAAATTTAAAAATTTTAAAAATTAAAAAAATAAAAAATTTGTTTCATTAAGTAAAACAATTAACAAATAGTTGAAGACATTCTAAATTCTTCCCTTCAGCTTCTTAAAATTCCCTATGCTAGCTAGCAAACACATAAAGAAATATAGTGTGCCTTTCAAACATTCATACTTTTGGCTAACTATCTATTGAAATGATGTGGCTGGCTGATAAGGAAGGTTTTCAATGACATAGTCCGTAAATATGAACTCCACTCATCCCTCTACCCATGGAGAAAGCATGAGCATTTACTGAGCAGCAGAACAAGGTAGAGCAGTGAAAATGGACTCACTTTCTGAATTTATAGCATTAAACCTTCATCCTTCTCAATTTGACACTAAATATTTTGAAGCAGTAGCAGATAAAAATAAACTTTTCTGATTTGGACTGTCAACTCCCCTCTCTTCTTCTCCACCCACCCCCACAACTGGGAATTGAACTCAGGGCCTTGCGCACGTTAGGCAAACACTCTACCACTGATTTACATTCTCAAGTCTCCTACACTGCCATTTAACTAAAAGTAAAATCAAAATATTTTACTTTTTATTCTTCTTGGGGCTTTAGAACAACTGACTTGCATTTAGCTCAATGACTTGCATTTAGGAGAAATGCTGTAAGAAGAAAAGAACTTTCTCTACCAGAAACACACAGTGCAGTGAAATTCTTATACTATAAAGAGCAGACAGGTTAAAGACCCCCAAATGCTATACATACTGACTCAATTTGTCATCTCATGCTTATTCTGGGACATATTACAAACCTGATTATGTTGACTACTTCAAATATTGTTTTACCTTTATTTGAGAAGCACGCAGAGGTAAATCAACAGATACTAAACATGAATGTGCTATAACTGCATGGTACTCAAGCCCCTGTGTTAGGTCCTAAAATAATTTTACATTTATACATAAAAGAATATATATATATTTAAATTCTAATCATGTTCCCATCATTCATTTATTAAAATATATAAAGATAAATTGAGTTTTTATTAAATTTATTTCTTTTCCTTTCAATGAACATTTACTGTCTACTATGTGTAATAGTACCAGAAATTATTCCTATAATCATCCAAGTATCTCTTATTTATCATTTACAGTTAATCTAATAGTTAACTGTAACCCAACAGCTATGATCTTATAATCAAGGTTAGCTAAATCAGACACTGTTTAGAATGAGAAGCAATTCATGTCCTTTTTATACAGCTCATACAGTATCTTCAAAGAGGAAAAGTTAGGAAATACTTATTTTCAAAGCTAGTTTAATATAGCCTTCCATATGCCACGTTTTCTACTGATTAAAAAAGAATAGATTTTTTTAGTAGGTCAAAACATTTCCTATTAGTTACAGTCAAAAGTAATGAAGTTTATAAATTCTACCAGTGTTCACATTTTAACGTCTAAGGAATGGAAAGCAATTCTTTTTTTTTTTTTTTTACAATACAATATTGATAGGGGCAATACAACCAGGTTAATTTTACCTCTATACTGAAATAGCCTCTGTCCACATAGTCACCCAGAAAGAGGTATCGAGTATTAATAGGTGATCCCCCAACTTCAAACAACTTCATCAGGTCAAAGAACTGTCCATGAACATCACCACACACTAGGCAAAAAAGACATGAAACATTATGTACCAGAAGGAAAAAAGTCAGAGCAACAGGATATCAGGTTACTTTACACTATATTTCTTTTTTAAAAGATTTTTAATTATGTATATTCGTGTGTGTGTGTGCTGGTATGTGCACGTGAGTGCAGGTGCCTGTGGAGGCTAGAAACATCTGATCCCTAGCTGGAGTTACAGGCAGTTGTGAGCTGACCGGCATGGATTCTGAGAATCAAACTCAGGTCCTCTGGAAGAAGTGCTCTTAACTGATGAGCTATCTCTCCAGTCCTTAATATTGTATTTTTGGGGGGGGGTCTCCCTGTAGCCCCAGCTGGCCTGGAACCCTGCCTGCCTCTGCCTCCTAAGTGCTGAGATTAAAGGCATGCACCACCACACCCAGCTCAATATTGTATTTCTTTTAACATTTTATTGTTTTTATTTTCTTTATGTGTATGAGTGTATTGCCTGCATGTATGTAAGTACACCTGTGTCGTGCAGTGCCCACAGAGATCAGAAGAGAGATGGATCCTCTGGAACTGGACAGTTGTTAACCACCATGTGGGTGCTGGGAATCAAACCTGGGTCCTCTGCAAAAGCAGCCAGTGCTCTTAACCGCCAAGCCTCTCTCCAGCCCCAATATTGTGTTTCTTCAAGGAACAAAAGCCATTTTAGCCAATCCACAGATTGCCTCAAAGTTCTTACAGTTAACACACTCATGTTTGTTGGCTTTCTGTGACCATTTCTCAAAATCAGTGCCAACCTAAGGGCCACGCGCTCCTCACACCTGTGACCGGCGCTTCCACCTCTATCATAGTCTTCTCCTGTCTGAGGATGGCGGCCCCATCATTGATTATCTTCAAGGCTACTTCCTCTTCCACTCGGCCTTCCTTTATCAAATGGCTTTTCAGAACATCCATTCTGGGTTTCCCATTCTCAAATACTTCCTTCAAAGTAAGCCGCTGGGTTGGAGGAAACGGGACAGCTAGAAAGAGGGAAATATAATTAGAAATAATTAAATGCACAAATGACAATCACGAACATACTCTTTTTTATAAACTGAATCCAATAAGCTATTGGAAACTGACAATACTAGAATTATGTGGAAAATAATTCTAAGATCGATTCAATTTTAAAAACAGTCACAATTAAAAGTGATTTTTTAAAAGTTTGTAAATTTATGATGTCATACACACACTGATCCTTGGTTGTTTGTGGCCTACAGGATAAAGGTTACAAACAGGTGACAGATGATATATCTTTACCTTTTTATGGGAAGAAATGCTGTTACAAAATGAAATGTGGGGCTGGTGAGAAGGCTCAGTGGATAAAGGTGCTTGCCGCCAAACCTGATGATCCGAGTTGTATCCTTAGGGCCCACAGGGTAAAAGGAGAGAACTCCCAAAAGTTGTTCTCTGACCTCCACATACATGTAGGGCCAAACACACACTGACATACACAAACAAACAAATTAGTGTAAATTCTGTGTGTGTGTGTGTGTGTATGTGTGTGTGTGTTTTGTTTTTGGTTTTTGTTGCAACAGGGTCTCACCATGTAGCCCTGATTGGCCTGGAACTTTCTATGTAGACCAGGCTGGCCTTAACTCACAGAGATTCACCTGCTTCTGCCTCTTGAGTGGTGGGATTAAAGGTGTGTGCCACTATGCCTGGCAAATATAAATTTTTTTTTTTGGACTTTTTGAGACAGGGTCTCCCTATAGCCCTAGCTGTCCTGGAACTCACTATGTAGACCAGGCTGGACTTGAACTCAGGTCCGCCTGCCTCTGCCTCCCAAGTGCTGGGATTAAAGGCGTGTACCACCACACCCGGAGCAAATATAAATTTTTTAAAAAAAGAAACTGTGATTAAAGAAAATGGAATGAAAGTAATCATAATGTTAAATTGGTGTATATTTCTTCTACAGAACTGCACTAATGAACCAATTTTCAGAAATATGACCAGCTTCTGATGAGGACAGCCACGAATGTATGTTATTCATAAAAGGGAGTTGATTGATGCATTTTATTAACAATAACAAGACACTCTATGAGGGTGGAGCACAAGCTTGAGAACAGATCAGGAAGTCTAGTCACATTCTTGAATCTGGAAATGCTAACTTCTTTCTGTCTACATTTAATACAAAGCTTTGATACAATATTATGGTGAATTAGCAACTTCAACAGAAAAAAAAGTTTGCTATTTTAAATATTTTATTTATTTTTATTTTATGTGTATGAGTGTTATACCTGCATGTAGGTAAGTGCACCTGTGTCATGCAATGCCTGTGGAGGACAGAAGAGGCTGTCGGATCCCCTGGAACTGGAGTAATGAACAGTTGTTGGCTGCCATGTGGATGCTGGGATTTGAACCCAGGTATTCTGCAAGAACAGTGTTCTTAACCACTGAGCCATCTCTCCAGCTCCAAGGTTGCTATTTTAAAATGAATCATTACCTTGTTTGCCTACTTTATAACACAAGCAACTTTAGATTCCTTGATATCTAACACTACAAATCCATAAACCATAATTTAAAGTGAGGTTGTCAGTCTTCTGAAGTTGGGATCCAAAGACAATCAGACTGAGGATGTGGCTCATGACAGAACACTTGCAGAGCACATTGAAAGCCTTGGGTTCAATCCCTAGCCTCATCACAAAATGGGAACAAAGGGGGCTAGACAAGTGGAAGAGTCCACATCTAACCATTCCCTGCTTTCAAAGTCAACATCTCTCTTTACAGTTTTTAAATTTTTATTTCCAATTGCTGGATGGTTAGTCTGCTTAATTGATCTTAAAGCCAAAGACTGCTTGATTTTTAAATTTATTTTTATTTCTTATAATGAGTGTTTTGCCTCCATGTATGTAAGTACACCAAATGTGAGCAATGTTCACAGAGGCCAGAAGAGGGAGTAAGATCCCCAGGAACTGGAGTTACAGATGGTTGTTAGCCACCAGTGGGTGCTGGGAACTGGACTTGGTTCCTCTGTATGAGCAGCCAGTGCTCTTAACCACTGAGCCATCTCTCCAGCCCCCAAACTCCTGTATTAGACATCATATTTGAGAAGAGATACTTAAAGTGCTTTGGAGGAAATAATTCGGAATTTTCTTTTTACCCTGAGGCTCTTCAGTTGTAACATATTTAAAATAAAACAAGTAACTTGGTTAAATAAAAATACAAAGGTGAAATGGGTCAAGGGGATTATGTTCAGCTAAAAGAAATAAGACTCAGCTGAGCTAGGAACACTAAAAGGACTTAGAATGGGATCAGAACAGCATGTATTAAGTAAGTTCCAGAAGAGTCCGAAATTATTAGGGAAAGTTAAAGCAACACCCTCCAAATCAGAGGAAGGGAATCTCCAACTGTAAAGGAGTGGGTCCTGCCTCTCTGTAGTTACTCCTATTTATGTTTGGAAGCTCTGAATTACCTCTCCCTCTTTAACAAGACAGTTCTAGACTACAGTTGAGACTGACGATGGTAGTGGAAGGCTAAAGGCAATCTAGCTCAGTTTATTAGTTTAGTTACAAAAAAAATGGCAGAAACCTCCATATTAAACTTTAAATTACTTTTTGTGGTAATTGCAACTGAACCCTGGGCCTCATCCATGTTAGACAAAGACAAGTGCTGAACCATTAAGGTATATCTCCAGCCCTCTTTTCACTTTTTGTTTGTCTGAGAGTATCCCAGGTTGGTCTAAAATTCAGTATGTAGCAGAGAATAGCCTTGAACTTCTGATCTTCCTGCCTCTATGTCTCAAGTGCTGAGATCACAGGTGTGAGTCACTGTGTGTATTAGATATTTTTCTGTTGCTGTGATAAAACACTATAACCAAAAGCAACTTAAGGAACAGTTTTATTTTGGCTTACAGTTCCAGAGGACTAGATGTCCATAATGGCAGGGAAGCATAGAGGTGGTAGCAAGAGGCTGAGAGATCACATTTCAACCATAAATAAAGAGGCAGAGAGCTGGGAGTGGGGAGGCTATAAACCCTCAGTCCCCAGTATATACTTCCACCCTCAATTCCCAGTACATACTTCCTCCAACAAGGCTACACCTCCTAAAGGTTCTATAACCTCCCCCAAACACTGCCATTAACTAGGTACCAGGGTCTCAGTAAGCTAACCAGGCTGGCCTTGAACTTGCAATTCTCCTGCCTTAGCCTCCAGAGTAGCTGGAGGCCAACTCCAACATTTTCTTAAGATGTGTCCCAGATACAATGCTGTCTACTGGGATATTCCCAGTTTATTGCTTTTGTCCTGATATAGTTAACAGCAGTCCGTTACTAGCAAGGATCCTGATTTAAATTACCTGTCCAGGAACAGCATCCACAAAATCAACGGATGTTATTTAAAATATATATTATCAAGCTGGGTGTAATGGTACATGTCTTTAGTCCCAGAACTTAGGAGACAGAGGCAGGCAGATCTCTATGAGATCGAGGTCAGCCTGGTCTACACAGTGAGTTCCAGGCTAGCCAGTACTACATGGTGAAACCGTGTCTCAAAAAAAGAATGAAGCCAAGAGGCCAGTGAGATGGCTCAGGTGCTTGTTACCAAACCTGATACCTGAGTTGGCTCCCCAGGACCCGTATGGAAGGACAGAACCAACTTTTTTGCAAGCTGCCATCTCATCTCCACAGGTCACATTCCTCAACTCAGTTGGCTGAAGCAGTCTCAAGCCAACCTAGATTCAAAAGGAGGGGAAAAGGGGTGGAGTTGCAGCTTGGTGATAGAGCACTTGCCTAGCATGGTTGTGGCCCTAGGTTCAATCCCCAATACTGACCAAAAAAAGAGAAAGAAAACTAATACAGACCCCCAGGTAATCCTTGAAGTCAAAATTTTCTTTTTATAGCCTTTCAATAATTACAGATACTTACTTTTGGTTTTTTCTTTTTAGGATTTTATTTTTTATGTATATAAGTGTCTTGCCAGCATGTATGTAAGTGTTCCACATGTGTGGCTGGTATCCAAGGAGGCCAGAGGTGGCATCAGATCCCCTGGAACTTGAGTAAAGTTTGGGCGTTAGCCACCATGTGAGTGCTGGGAATTGAACCTAGGTCCTCTGGAAGAACAGTCAGTGCTTGTAACTGCTGAGCCATCTCTCCAGCCCTATTTTTGCTTTTTTGATGCAGGGTCACATGATATAGTCCTGGCTGGCCTGGAACTCAATATATATACCAGACTAGCTTTATCCTTGCTGGGATTCTCCAGTCTCTGCCTCCTGAATGCTGGGATTATTATCATGGCCAGCTTACAAAATACTTTTCTGTTGTTGGTGGTGGTGCCAGGGATTGTGAAGCAAGGGCCTCAAACATGTTGAGCATTAAGCATGTGCTCTACCACATACAATTTTCATGTACACAAGAAACTAACATTGCCTGGCTCTTAAAATTGAAAGAGAAACCACAACTTATAACTGCTCATGATTCATAAAACAGATAAAGTGAACAAACCAAACCACAGTGTGCATCGCAGACTATCTAATCCAAGCTAGATCCTTCAGATCACATGTCCCTAGATAGGACCTTCTGACAAATTAATGCAACAGTAACAGTAACTAGATCATCCTCACACTGGAGTTTCATGACTTCTAGTAACTCAACCAGTTTACAAACTCTCACGAGCTCTTGCAAACTCTTACCCTAAAATCTAGCAACTGTCACTAATCTAACATAAGGATTTTTCATAGTCCTCATAATCCCAAATGCCTTGTTCAGTTCTGCCGTCTGGAGCTGTCCTTAGCTGTTGATAACTGGTCTTTGATGTCTTTTGGAGACATGATGTCAAAGGGGCCATTCACAGCAACAAAGATCAGGTGGGAATCTTCTCCACCTAACTGTTTTCTCTAGGTCTCTTCTACCTGAGTCCTTTGCATTTTCAGATTATGAATATAATTCAACAGCATAATTTTATCAAGGAAAAACCTAGAACTTACAATGGCCTCTTAGAGAATGTTTAACATGAACAAGATTGAGAAACACCATAAAACAGAA